TCATTGCCATCCCTCCCACCCCCACCCCCATCTCTCTCTCTCCCCAAGCACCCACTGACTAGATGTTATTATAGATGAATTTGCCTTTTCTATAATTTTTTATGAAGGGAATCATCCCATATGCATACTTTCTGGTACAGCTATTTTTCCCCCATCACAATGCATTTGAGGCTCATTCATGTTATTGTTTGTTCCTTTTCATTACTGAGCACTATTCATTCAGTTTGTTTCTTTTTCTTTTTGGCCACACTGTGTGGCATGTGAGATCTTAGTCCCCCTATCAGGGAGCACACCCAAGCCCCCTGCATCAGAAGCATGGGGTCTTAATCGCTGCACCACCAGGGAAGTCCCCATTCACCTTTAAATGGAACTTTGATCGTTGTTTCCAGTTTGAGGTTATTATTTAAAAGCTGCTATGAATATTCATGTCCATGTCTTTGTGTGGACACATATTTTAATTTCTGTTGGACAAATACCTAAGAGTGGAATGTCTGGGTTAAACAGTAATTTTTAAAGAAACTGCCAAACTTTCTTAACTTTACTTTTTAAGAAACTGCCAAAGTGTCTTCCAAAGTGATTGCACCATTTTATATTCCCACCTGCCATGTATGAGAGTTCCAGTTGCTCCATATTCTTGCTAACACTTACTGTGGTCCGTCTCCCTAATTTTAGTCCTCTAGGGGGTGTGAAGTGGTATCTTTCCACCCATTTACCTGATGGCCAAGGATGTTGAGCATCTTTCATGTGTTTATCTCTATGCCATCCTGTATATTCTTTATGGCAAAATGTGCACCCAAATCCTTTGCTCCTTTTAAAATTGAGTGGTTTCCTTGTTAGTGAGGCTTAAGAATTCTTCACATATTCAGGAACCACTCCTGTTATCAGGTGTGTGATTTTCAAAGATTTTTTCCTAGTCTGTGGCTTGACTTTCATTAACTGGGTTTTGCACAGAGTCTTAGCTGCAAATCCCAACCATTAATCCCATTAATCATCCAACCTATTTTGAAGGGTAGTGATAGTCATCATCCTCTTTTTCCCAAGCAGCAAACAGGCTTAGAGAAGGGGAAGCCCGATGACCTACAAATGGCACAGTGAGGATTAAACCCAAGTCTACCTAATCCAAAACCCCACAGACTTCACCCACTGCCTCCATCTCCCCCTGGTGATTAAGGGCTAGCATGAGCTTCATTCTCCTAGAAATTCCATGTGTCTCTAAGTTTACAGACTCCCATTGTGCCCTGAGGCCAAAAGAGCAAGAATGAATCAAACAAGCCATCAGGATTCTTTCACAACAAATTTATTTGCTGATCCTTCACGCTGAGCCTCGACAGACATGCAAGAGGAGGAATTTGGGGGCCCTACAGCCTCGGGACCCACCAAGCTCCCGGGCATCACCAGATCAAGGCACTTTCCCAGTAATTGGGCAAAACCTGGGACCCCAACAACCCAAGGCCTATGTGACACAGCCACAGGCTGATGCCCTGAGCATGCCCTGAGCACCCACATGCAAAGAACAGTCCCAAGCTGGCCAATTCTGGGCCCAAATCCCACCTGAGACTGGCCATGCCCAACCCACCTACCCCTCTCGAATACCCTGGTGACCTAGGCTGAGGTGAAGGTGGCCAGGAGGGGCGCTCAGCTCCCATCCCCCTTGCTCACCCTGAATCAAGTTCCCAGCCTGTTCAGTAGCAGCACAAGGTTTGGCACATAGTAGGCAAGTGTTTGTTGAATGACTGAGCGAGCGGCAATGAGGATGCCAGCACTGAGGGAGGTCTCATGGAGCTTCTGGAGTCCAACAGTGAGTGCTTGAAGCCCCTGGACTAGAGCCAGATCTTGGAACCCCCGCCTGGCCAGCTGCATTTCTTTGGTTTAGGGGGCAACCTGAAGCCAAGGATCAGAAAAAGCCTCCCCTACCCCTCCACGCTCTCAAGTCTGGCCTAGACACAGCTACTGAAGTCCTCCTCTGTTCCAGGTAACTTGTGGGGTTCTCCAAGCCACAAACACAAAAGATCTAAAATGCAAAACTGTTTTTTAAGCACGATGAACCTCCATCAAGGCCTCACCTCCTGACTGCATTGTGCTTCTGAGCTTACAAAGCTGGTTTGTCAGGTCCAGCCTCACATCAGCCCTTGTATACAGAATGGGGTGAGGGGCCACTATACTAATGGGCACGCAGGGCTCAGAGCAGGTGGCAGCTTGCCCAGGGATGCCCAGGAGAAGTTGACAGGAAGAGACGTGGAAATCACAGCAGCTACCTTACAGCAGACAGTAAACATCCATCAAATGGATGAGCCTCAACATGGCTTGAAATTCTTCCAGAGTCAAGGTGTCATTTTAGAGAGGGAATAACAGGACCAAGAACATAACTGCCAGGGTTACCGGTTGGAGCTATTGCTGGGATTCTGTGGACTGCTCCACCAAAGCCCCAGGTCTATGGGGACCTGGCAGAAGGAGAAAGGGACTCCCATTCTTACAAATGCCCTTCACCCCCCCATAACTCACTTAACCCCCCACACCAGGCCCGGAGGGTGGGCTGATGGCCCCAGTTTGCAGACAGGAAAGCAAAGGCCTGAAGAGGGGAGAACTGAGCCCAGGTCCTGGGTCTGGGTCTTCTCCCTGGTGCCCTGAAGACGCCTGGGTTGCCCCCTAATCCGCCTTCTTGGTCTTCTTCTTCCTGGAGCCCTCACTCAGCTCCTCCTTGGACTTGGTGGGCAGGGGTGAGTGTGGGGAGCCAGGCCCGCTGCCACCCTGGGATCCACCGTGGTTGTCATGGTGATGGTCACCCCCTGAGGCCGACCCAAACAGCACAGGGCAGACGTAGGCTTCCAGGACATCAAAGGGGGAACTGTGGGAGTGGGTGGCCGTCAGGAACACCTGAGGTGGGATGACAGAGGGGCGGGAGACAGCGAGAGAGCCAGCAGGGGGAGGAGGCAGAAGCGATTGGGGTGGGGGGATAGAGAGAGAAGATCAGAAAGTCAAGGGCAGAGGGAGCCTAGACTCAGATTTCTGGTGGCATGCACCCCCAGGAAGGTGACCGACTATCCTGCCTTTTCCAGGATGCAAAGATTTTGGTGCTTAAAATCCCAGCCACACCGGAACACCTGGTCACCTTTTCCCCGGGAATATTCCCACCCACCACGCGCACACCTGGGCTCAGAGAGGAGCTATGCTTGGTCTGGGGTCACTCACTCCCTTCCTCTATTCAGTGTGGTCCCCTCCTGGGAGCCAGCAATGAAGTTCCCCAGCTCCACGGGGCAGGGAATGGTGTATGGCCCCGAAAGACGTTTCCTGAGTAGGAAGTGACTCCAACTCAAGGCCTGAGGGTTAGACCAGCACCATTCCTAATCCAGCCCGCTCTGCATGTCCAAGGCACAGAGCCCCCATACTCCAAACAGACTCCATTCTCTCCCGCTTCCATCTTGGCCTTATGGGGTCCTCTGCCTGGAAGACCTTATTCTGCTCGCTCTCACCCCCTCCTGCTGTACACTGATCTTCTCACACCCGCCTCTCAGGCATGAAGCTACTGACAAGCTCCTCCCCACCCCCAACCACCTCGACCTTAGGGCTGTCCTTTCCCCAGACACCCCAAGGCTATCAGCCCAAGTTTCCCATCCTCAGCCCAGGAAGCACGGGTCAGCATTAGCCAGGATGGGAGGACTTACCTTACATGATACCATGAACATGGTGAAGATGAAGATGAGGCTGGCTTTGGACACTGGGAGCCAGCGGGTCTGCTGAAGGGTGAAGAGGATGGCTCCATACAGGCTGGCCTTGGTGGGGCTGGATGGGGTGGCTCTGGTTATCCGGAGGGCCTAGATGGCTCAGGGCTTTGTTCCTCTGGCCCAGAGCCCCTTCTCCACCCACCCCTGCTGTGCCCAGCTCCCACCCCAGCTTCTCCGGGGTGCACGGAGGGAAGATGCCCATGTGACATGGACGAGACGGTACCTCCCTGTGCAGTAAAGAGTTAACTTGGTGCAAAGAGAGCTCTCTCCTCTGGCCTGCTCCTGAGAGGTACCCACAAAGTTCTGCCTGATAGGAATGTCTTTGTTCACCTGGGGACTCTGGGTCACAGCAGATGATAACGATGTGATTTCGGGTGGGGTCTAGGGCCGCATGGTATCAGCTGAACCTCTGGAGGGACTGGAGACTGAGGTTGGCCATCCAGGATGTCAGTTAGGTCCATGTGACCAAGCTCCAGGAAAACCCCTGAACACCAGGACTTGGGGGAACACTACTGGTGCCAATCTTAAATACATACAGTCACACATGGATACTGGGAGCAATAGGTGCTGTTCACACAGCTCCTCGGAGAGGGGACGATTGGAAGCTTGCACCTGGTCTCTCCCTGGATGCTATCCCTGTGCCTTTTGCCTGTGCCAGTTTTAATCTGTTCCCTTTTACTCTAATAAACTATAACCCTAAGTATAACAGCTTGACCAAGTTCCATGCCTCCTCCTAGCAAATCATTGCACCTGAGAGTGGTCTTGGGGACTCCTGAACAATGCACTCCCCTGGAATGTGGGAATATGACACACAATTACTATTGATTTTCCTTTTCTTCTTTGAAGAATAGGCTTCCAGTATTCTGACTTGCCCATGAGCTAAGTGTGTGAACACACCTCTCATGAGGATAAAATGAGACAATGCCATGTTTTGCAACATATGACATGGGAGGTTGTTTTCACTGGCACATGTTGTTGATGTTCAGTTGCTAAACTGTGTCCGACCCTTTGCAATCTCATGGGCTGCTGCAGCATGCCAGGCTCCTCTGCGCTTCACTATCTCCTGGAGTTTGCTCAAACTCATGTCCATTGAGTCAGTGATGCCATCCAACCATCTCATCCTCTGTCATCCCCTTCTCCTCCTGCCTTCAATCTTTCCCAGCATCAGGGTCTTTCCAGTGAGTCAGCTTTTCACATCAGGTGGCCAAAGTATTGGAGCTTCAGCTTCAACATCAGTCCTTCCAGTGAATATTCAGGGTTGATTTCCTTTCTGATTTAGGACTGGTTTGATCTCCCTGAAGTCCAAGGGATTCTCAAGAGTGTTCTCTAGCACCACAGTTCAAAAGCATCATTGGCATATAGGTGAGTCTTTTAACGTTGCCATATTTTAATGGCAATAGCTTTATGGAAGAAAATTCAACTAGCCTGATCCTTTCAGGTCTTTTAAAAATGTATTAGACTGACGCTGAGGAGAGTTGGTGACTGCTGAGGGCTGATTGAGTCTGATCTCTCCGACTGAAGAGCGTGGCGTGGGACCCTGGTGTGGGCTTCACATACATACCTCAGAATGCCGGGTCTAAGTTGTAGATTTTATCAACACAAATTTCCTGAGGTGGAAGATGTAGTGACGGTGAATGTAAGGTCCATTGCTGAAATGGGCGCTTATGTCAGCTTGCTGGAATACAACATCGAAGGCATGATTCTTCTGAGTGAGCTGTCGAGAAGGCGAATCCATTCTATAAACAAACTCATCCGAATTGGCAGGAATGAATGTGTGGTTGTTATTAGAGTGGACAAAGAAAAAGGATATATTGATTTGTCAAAAAGAAGAGTTTCACCAGAGGAAGCAATCAAATGTGAAGATAAATTTACCAAATCCAAAACTGTTTACAGCATTCTTCGTCATGTTGCTGAAGTCTTAGAATACACCAAGGATGAGCAACTGGAAAGCCTGTTACAGAGGACTGCCTGGGTCTTCGATGACAAGTACAAGAGACCCGGATATGATGCCTATGATGCATTTAAGCACGCAGTCTCAGATCCATCTATTTTGGATAGCTTAGATTTGAATGAAGATGAACGGGAAGTACTCATTAACAATATTAATAGGTGTTTGACCCCACAGGCTGTCAAAATTCGAGCAGATATTGAAGTGGCTTGTTAAGGTTTTGAAGGCATCGATGCCGTAAAAGAAGCTCTGAGAGGGGGTTTGAATTCTTCTACAGAAACCACGCCCATCAGGATTAATCTGATAGCTCCTCCTCGGTATGTAATGACTACAACCACCCTGGAGAGAACAGAAGGCCTCTCTGTCCTCAATCAAGCTATGGCTGTTACAAAAGAAAAAATTGAGGAAAAGAGGGGAGTCTTCAGTGTTCAAATGGAGCCCAAAGTGGTCACAGATACAGATGAGACTGAACTTCCAAGGCAGCTGGAGAGGCTTGAGAGAGAAAATGCAGAAGTGGATGGAGATGATGATGCGGAAGAAATGGAAGCCAAAGCTGAAGATTAACTTTGTGGGAAACAGAGTCCAGTTTAAGGAACCCAAAGCAGCCTTCCTGGCTGTAAACCCTAGACTTAAAAGTTTTCCAGTATTGAAAACTTCAAAGCTGAATATTTTTTATTTCTAAGTATTTAAATGTTCCAACAGACCAAAACATGAAATGCCCTCCTAAATGTTAGCTGTTTACACACAGTAGCTCCAACACCTTGAGCATATGTTAAGAGAGTGGCCTGATTTCACTAGAGACAGATCTTCAAGACGGGACATAAATTGGGCTTATGATTTCCATTTCTGATATCTCCAGATTGGCACCCCTTTGTAGTTTAGTGCCTCCATGAGATTTATCAGAGGCACCCAAAGCAAAGAGTTCCAACCTTTCTATATAAAATGTATCAAGCAAACATTAAATAAATTTCTGGGATATTAAAAAAAAACGTATTAGACTAAATGCCTCATGGGGTCCTGGGTTGAGTCCTGTATATGACCATATGGTCTTAACCTTTGTTTTACACCTAACCCCAGCCACACTCCCCACCACACCCTCACTTCCCACCCAAAATCTGTACCCTGGCCCTGATGAACCAGGCAGAATCTTTTCTGACTTGATAGTTGGCAGATGCACTGGCCTCCGTCCAGAGTCTCCTTTGCCAGAAAACTCCTACTCAATCTTCAAAACCCATTTCATTGGTGATGAAGGAGTGTCTTATCTCCCTGAAACCCTGCCTAACCCCTCAGTAGTGTCAAGGCTCCGCCTCTGAGGTCCCCCAGCCTTGGCCTCTGGAAGCTTCTGGAAGGAGAATCAGGGGACCAAGGCTTCTCAGTTACCAGAGTATCCAACCCAGGGTCAGGCCCAGGGGGTGGGGAGGATGGGATACTCACAAGGACATGTGCAGAATCTCGTTGGTTTCTGGCTTCCAGACCCCTCGGAGCAGCTGCTCAAGGTTGGACATGAGAGTGACACCAGAGCCTATGGGACAGGGTACTTCTGAACAAGCCTGCCACCCCCAGCTTCCCATTCTTCTTGGCTGAATTCCCAAGCAAGAAGTTGCTGGAGTCTTCTCCAGAGGAATGTTGAGCCTAAGATGTTGCAGGTGGGGAAACTGAGGCCAAGAAGGGACAGTCTTCCCAAGGATCACAAGGCATATTCAGAGCAAAACCAGCATGAAGTAATGGGGGTCATATCCCACCTGCAAGATATGTCTTGATCAAATCTAGATTGTCTGCCCTCATGTTTTTAATACAGGATCTTGAACTGTACAAGAGGCTTCCAGAGGGCTTCCCACCCCCAGCCTCTCTCTCCCCTTGGGTTCTGAGCTTTCAACCTTTCTTGAGCTACTTGCCCTCTGGAAGGCATGTTGTAACCCTGGGGAATTTTCTCTTTAGTACAGACTTCCTAGAGAGACAATAAGGAGACCCATATCAAGATTTTTGGTTGAATTTCTAGAAGAATCTTCCCATTTACTCCAAATGTATTGGCTAAAGAGGCTTAGACACTCATTGAAGGTGTGGTTGTGCCTGCTGAGTTTGCTTCTGGGGTGTCTTTGCCCCAGAGAGGCATTTGGCAATATTTGTAGACATTTTTTATCTCACCACCGGGGAGGGAGCTGCTACTGGCAACTTGTCAGTTGAAGCCAGGGATGCTGCTCAACATCCTCTAACAGACAGGACAGCCCCCACCAGAGCGTGATCCAGCCCTCAGCATCAGATGTGCCTTAGGACCCTGGTTCGCTGGAGGGTACTCCTGGGCATTTGGGAGTACCCACTTTGGTGGGCAGGAAACAGGAATATAGAGCTTAGTGGTATTTAGCACCTGCTCAAGCCTTCTTTCCCTGCCTTCTTGTCACTCCCTGGCCCACCTCTGCAACTATTACTGTTGAACTGTCTATTTCTCCTTTAACTTCCCTCAGTTTTCTCTTTATGTATTTTGGTGCTCTGTTTTTAGGTGCATATGGGACTGATGCTGAAACTGAAACTCCAATAATTTGGCTACCTCATGCAAAGAGTTGACTCTTTGGAAAAGACCCTGATGCTGGGAGGGATTAGGGGCAGGAGGAGAAGGGGATGACAGAGGATGAGATGGTTGGATGGCATCACCGACTCAATGGACATGAATTTGAGTAGACTCCGGGAGCTGGTGATGGACAGGGAGGTCTGGCGTGCTGCGATTCATGGGGTCACAAAGAGTCGGACATGACTGAGTGACTGAACTGAGCTGAACTGATGTTTAAAATGGTTATATCGTCTTAGTGGATTGATCCACCATTATAAACTGTCCCTATGTAATTTTAGTAACTTTCTTTTTTTAGTCTTAATGTTTATCTTGGTCTGCCTGTTAGCATAGATAGAGGAGGGGGAAAAGGAGGGCCTCAAAATAGTTACAAATGTGAATGTTGAATTCAGAGGACCTGGTGTCAAACCCCATCTGTGCCCCTGTAGCCACATGACCTTGGGCAAGTAATTTCATTTCCTTCCTCAGTAGAAAGGGATGATGCTAACTTTCTGCTAAAGAAGAGTCAAGTAAGATGCACAATGAGTTCAACTCAAAACTTACCCTGGATTGGGGATCTTAACCTAGAGTCTATGAACCCAGAGAGGAAACAGAATTACATTTTCATTTTCACATCCTTCACTGAAACACAGCCTTTCCATTTATCATGAAGGGAGGCAATTACCTTGGCAGGATTTGCAAGTCTATGACTGTCATCAGCAGAACTCATGGATTTTTTTCTTTTCACATTCTCATTGTTGTAGATGGTTTCAAATACCATTTGTGCTCAACACTGCTTCAAGAGCATGAGACTTATTAGAAGTCAGTGGAAGGTCTGCTATTTAATCACTAGTAAATATGCATAAAAGGCTTCCCATGTGGCTCAGTGGTAAAGAATCCACCAGCCAATGCAGGACACACAAGTTTGATCCCTAGATTGGGAAGGTCCCCTGGAGAATGAAATGGCAAACCATCCCAGTATTCTTGCCTGGGGAATCCCATGGACAGAGGAACCTGGTGGACAGAGGAACCTGGTGGGTTATGGTCCATGGGATCAGAAAAGGGTCATACATGACTGAGTGTAAACAACAAACAGCAATAACAAATAGACATAAAACTACTAAAGCCTATTTTTGAACACCTTATAACTACTTTAAAATAATAGGTTTCCTTTATTCTCCTATATATTTTATGTCATGCACTTAAGAAAACATAAAAAGGTCTGTAGGCTTTACTGGGCTGACAAAAGGGCCATAGTCCACCAAGCTTAACAGGGGTATGATTTCCTCTCTGTGAGGCCCTTGACAATGCCTGGGGACATTTCTGGTTGTTGCACTGGAGGCAGGTGCTACAGGCATCTTCGTGGGTGGAGGTCAGGGATGTGCTCAACTCCCTACAACGCACAGGACAGCCTCCACACAGAGAAAGGTCCAGCCCCACATGTGAGTAGGGCTGCAGTTGAGAAATCTTTCTCCAGAGGCATTAGCCATCCTTGTTTCCATTTACTTTTTAAAAAAAAAATCTCTTCTGAATTTGTCACAATATTGCTTCTATTGTTTAAGTTCTGGTTTTTTGGCCCCAAGGCATATGGAATCTTAGCTCCCATATGCAATTGGCGCAGATAGCTGATAACGGCCACTGAGAATCAGCTCTCAAGTGGGGTGACCTCCCTTTGTCCTGGTCACGGTCCTGCTTACCTTTGACCCACCCGGTGGCGATCATGATGAACCACCCATGGTGGTAGTGGTGATGAGCGTGATGGATGCCCACGGCGATCTTGCGAACTCGCACCACCTCCTTCATGGCCACAAAGACGAGCTTCACCGGCAGGAAGCATACACACTTGTAAAAGAGGTCCAGCGGGCAGAAGAAAATCAAGTACCTTTGGGGAGAGAATGCCAAGCATCAGGGGGAGACAGACCCTGGGGGCCCTCGGAGACGAGCTTGTGTCCAGACTCAGGACAGCTGGGCGGAGAGGGTGGTGAGTCAGGGCTAAGTGCGGAGGTTTGGCTGGCGGGTCCTAGTTCCTCCCACCTCCCAGGTGGTGGGATCGCCCTGCCCGCCAGCTCTGCTCTCCCACATCCCGCCAGACCATGATGCTCACCAGACCGCTGAGGCCAGCAGGATGCTGGAGTTGTTGCTGAAGTAGTCGATCACGGGCTCCCCAAGGAGCAGATCAGCCAGGATGTAACTCCCAAAGCAATGCAGCATGGCACACAGCCAGGACGCCATGGGGTGGTGCCGGGACAGCTCAACTGCTCCTAAGGGGCATGTGGGTGTCCCCACCATCACCAAGGCGCTGAGGGCATGCTTCACCATCATGCCCTCTGACCAGCTCATCCTAATTCAGCCACCTTCCCAGACTGTCCGCCCAAAGCCCTGCAGTTCATCCATTTACAGAGGAAGAACCAAGGCTCAGAGAGACTGTACACGTGTCTGAGATCACACAGAGAGAAGGCAGAACCAGGTTGGGGCTCTTTCCTCTGAGCTCAGAGAGGATGATAATTAAGACAAATCATATTTAGCAGGTCTTCCCTTATAGCTCAGTTGGTAAAGAATCCACGTACAATGCCGGAGACCTGGGTTTGATCCCTGGGTTGGGAAGATCCCCTGGAGAAGGGAAAGGCTACCCACTCCAGTGTTCTGGCCTGGAGAATTCCATAGACTCTAAAGCCCATAGGGTTGCAAAGAGTCGGACACGACTGAGTGACCTTCACTTTCGCTTTCATATTTAGCAAGCATTCCTGGATCAGAGGTGGTAATGTTGTGTCCGACTCTTGTGATCCCACAAACTGTAGCCCATCAGGCTCCTCTGTCCACGGGGTTATCCAGTCAAGAATACTGGAGTGGGCTGCCATTTTCTTCAACAAGGGATCTTTCTGACCCAGGGATCAAACCCGGGCCTCCTGCATCTCAGGCAGATTCTTTACCGCTGAGCTATCAAGAAAGCACTCTCAGACACTGGGTTTTAGTGTTTATAGGAAGGACTCATTAAATCCTCATTGATGAGTGCAGCCAAGTGATCACTCTTATTATCCTGCCCAAGGAGACTGAAACTTGTTTTGTTTTGCTTGGCCATGCCTCTTGGCTCATGAGATCTTAATTCCCTGAACAGGGATTGAACCTATGCCCCCCGCAGTGGAAGCGTGCAGTCTTAACCATTGGACCACCAGGGAATTATGAGGAGACTAAAGCTTGAAGAGGGCAACATGCAGCTGAGAACGTCTGACGCAGCTACTCCTGCCTTGGGCGGATGCCAAGATCCCCATAAGCCTACACCTGTACTTTTGGTCTTTCCTTATTTAAAAGAAAAAAAAAAGTGGGTGCAGTAAAATATACATAAAATGTGCCATTTTAACCATTTTAAGGGTATGGTTCAGTACCATTAAGCACACCTATGTTATTGCACAACCATCCCCATCATTCATATTTATAGCG